CAGGAAGCTGCTGACCAGGACAGGGCACCCTGTGGTGGTGGTGGCAAGGCCCATTGAACTCAGCTGTGTGGGACTGGGAGCACAGAGCACTGCTCTCACCTTGCTGAATGCACTGTTGGGGTCTCCAGCATTTTTTCCTGTGTTTGTGAATAAGGGGCTAAGAGATGGGAGTGGTGCTTTGAGGTGGCTGCATGGTTACTGCTAAGGAAGGGTTTAGTTTGCACCATTATGGGCAGTAGGATAGCAGCACCTCCCATGGGTGCAGCCACTGCCTGCTGTTACCATCACTAGTTTGCTCAGGGTCTTCATTGTGCAGCTAGGAGCCCCATCCCAGTGCTTCCGCACAGAAGCATCAAACTGCAGCTGATCTTACCTATAGAAAATGGCATAAAAGCCTCCCTCTTCCAGAACTGACCGTCTTTCAGGAAATGCTCAGGATTAAAGCTGTGAGGGGTTTCCCAGTCCTTCTTGTCAAGCATCACGGAGGATAGGTTTGGGACTACAATAGTGCCCTGCAGAAAGAAAGAAAATCACTTTGCACTCTCTCTGCCACTGCCAACAGGAGGAAAAATTTTACTTTCCTGTGTGCTAGCCATGAAGAACATCTGTATTCAAATCCACCACAAGTATTTTTTCCTCAGGGATGATCTCTGGGCAGGGTAAGGATGCTGCTGCTTTGTCCGTTTGTGGACTGGGAAATGGGAGTGTTCTCCTAAAGGCTGGTCTGATGTATAGTGAAGTTACCTTGGGCAGGTGGAAACCAGCCAGGACTGTGTCCTTCATTGCCTCTCTAGGCAAACTGAAAGGGATGATGTTGCCTTTCCTCTGCACTTCATGGATGACGGCATTGGTGTAGGGCATCTTGTCCCTGTCCTCCAAGGCTGGCTGCCGTGTCTGCCCAATGACAGCATCAATCTCTGCTTGCACACGGGCTGTTTGGAAAGAGGAAGCATCAGCTATAGTGCAGCAAAGCCATAGCTCCCCTGGGGACACCATGTCATTTTTGTTGTTTGGCTCCCCCAAGGATCATCCCACATCATGTATCACCAGGGCATCTTGCATCTTCAGGTACTAAAGGGGCCCTGAGCTCTGTGCAGTGCACCTGTCACCTCTGCCAAAATGCCAGTCTTTGTTGGAGAGGTTGCCCCTTTTGTCTGTTGGTATTCCAATATTAGAAGGGCAAGGATCATCATAGCAGAGGCATGTGGCTGAATGCAAAAACAAACAAACAAACCACCAAACTTTCCTGTGCCTAATTTGCAAGAGTACTGAGGGATTCACATAATTGCAAGGGTTGGAAGAGATCACTAGGGATCGAGTCCAACTCTCCTGCTTAAGCATCTTCCCTACTGTAGGTCACATGTGTAAACATCCAGGCAAGTCCTGAGTATCTGCCAAGGAGGAGACACCTTAAGCACTCAGAGCAGCCTCTTCCAGCGCTCTGTTACCTCTACTCTAAAGCAATTCTTCTGCAAGTTTGTGTGGAACTTCCTATGTTCCAGTTTTTGGCTGTTCCTCCTTTTCTTATACTAAACAACACTGAAAAGAGTCCAGCCACATACAATTACCTCCCACACTTCTTAGGTATTTATAAAGGGGTCCTTCTTGGCAGAGCTCCTCTCCAATAGGTCATCCATCCCCAAACTGTTGTACTGTTGCTTGTGGTTATTTCTCTACAGGTGCTAAACTCTACACTTGCTTTAGTTGAATCTTATCAAACTTTTCTCCTCTCTTGGCCTGAACAGAATATCTCACCAAGCTACAATAGGGCTGTGCACGTTCTACTCATACCTTGAATCTCTGGATATATGGCCATAAACAGCAGGGCCCAGCGGATGGTTGTGGAGGTGGTCTCAGTCCCAGCAAAAAACAGGTCGAGAGTGCATGCAACCAGGTTATCCTCGCAGAAATCACTGCCATTGGGCTTCAGAAAATCAAGTGTTAGTGCCACATTAAAAGCAAGAACTTCCCCCAAAATCAGACTCAGTCCCGCCTCAAGGCTTTTGGCAGAAGCTGCATCCTCATTCCTCCAATGGATGCTCCAAAACTAATGTCCATCCTGAGCTCACATATGGACACACCAGCAGCTCAGGTGGGGAATTTCATTTGCTTCTCAGCCCTCCTGATCTCCAGTCCCTACTGAGGAAGGCCTTGCTCCACACTGCTGACCTTGGCCATCTCCTGCAGGTAGCTGTCGATGAAGTCTCGGCTCTCTGAGGGGTTCAGGTCTTCCTTATGTTTGCTGATCTTCTCTTTCACAAAACCTTTCATGAGTCTCCAGTTTTCAAAAATGGTTTGGTGAGATCCTGGGAAGTACTTTATTATGGAGGGGAAAGCATTGTACAGCTTTGGATAGAAAAAAAAAAGAAAAAAAGAAGAAAATTGAGTAAAGGACTGAAAACCCAAATTGTTTTCAAAACTTGAAAAGCCTGCAAAGCCACAACCCTACAGTGCTGGAGGAGATGGAATTAACCTCACCAGAAGAGCATGACAAAGGATTGCTATCTCCACTGTCAGAGAGATTACTGCATTCTTCGTAGTTACAGCAAGAAGCTTGGTGCTCAATGGACAGGAGCAGTGATGAAAGAAAGAAATGTGAGCATTGCACAGCTTGAGAATGTGGCAGAAATAAATTACAGGCAGATGTACTTGATGCAATGGAAAGAGGAATGGCAATGAGTGCTCTTGGAAACTTTAGTATTGCTCCTTCCCATAACCTCTCCTAGGGACCCGCCCAAACCCTCTGCTGTATTCATTTCCTTCCCAAAGCACAGGAAAACCAGCTGGGGTAGCTCAGCTTTGTGACCACTGGGGACTGCACCAGCACCAGAACATCTTAAGGGAGAAGAGGCACCACAAAGCTGTGGGAAGCAGCAAAGAAAATCTCATGGATCCAGAGCAGGGAGAAACGGCTCCTAGGCTTGGCCAGCCCCCACTTTTGGTGAGGGCCTCACCTTGAACAGTGTGCAATTTTGTGTGCTGTATTACGTAAGGATATAGAACTATCAGAAAGCATCCAAAGGAGTGCTACAAAGATAGAGAAGGGTATACAAGGCCAACGCATGAGGATTGCTGAGGTCTGTTGTTCTGTTCTGGGGGTGGGGGGCTATACCTGGCTCATTATCTTCCCATGGAGGGTAACAGTCTCATCCATCAGCCGCAGCAAGTTTTGGAAGTCCTCATCATGGTATTCAAACCGATTGCCGAAGGTGATGGAGCAGATAACGTTTGAAACAGCACTGTTGATTTTAAGGTGAGGATTGAAAGGATTTCCTGGAGAAGGAAAGAGGGAACAATCATTCTCTTCCGGTCTCTGCAGACAAGGGGAAGAAAGTGCCATCATCAGAGGAAAATATTCAATAAGTGGGATGAAAGATCCTGGATGGGCACCTGCTTGGAGATGCCTGTTTGCTTAGAAAGGAAAATGCAAAACAGCTTCAGAAGAGCAAACATCATTGGTGTTAATTCAGAATATTGGTGTTAACTGGCCCCTGGAATTTCCCAGCGGTCTCAAAAGGAGCAATAGACAAAGGTAGGCTAAGAAGACTGTTTTGAGTGTTACACAGTTGCATCTATCAGTTAATCTCAGGGCAAAACACTTATAGAAGGAGTCTGGGATGCTGGCAGATTGCTTAGCATTGCTTATGAGATGAGGAGAAAGAGGATGTTGGTGGGTTAGTTAGCAGCTGGCAGAAGGTGAGTATGCCCATGAGACCAAGAATGAAAATAGCATCTGGGCTCATATCAGATACAGTGTAGCCAGCAGGAGCAGGGTGGTGATCATCCCTCTGTGCTCAGTACTTGTGAGGCCACATCTTGGGTGCTGTAGTAACTGGACAGATCAATACAACGAGAAAGGCATTACAACAAAGATATGATGATAGAAGGAGTGACACAATAGAAATGTACTATAAAGGATGGGAAAAAGATTGCTTATCTGTAGCAGAAGATTCCAGGTTCACACAGGAAAGCTTCACCAAGGACAGATCTCCAAGAAGAGATCCTTCCTTAGTGGCAGTCAGCCCTTAAATGAGGTCTAAGAAGGTGCAGCCAGGCTCCACCCCTTCTGGTCACACAGCTGAATTCTGTCACAGAGCTGAATTGTCTTCACCTGTGCTCCCAGGGCTGAGGGGGGTCCTTTCCTCAGGTGCTCAATCAGTGGTTGAGGCCATGACTCAGCATCTCCAATACAGGTGCTGAGTTGAGTTTTGGGCCCCTCTCTTCAAGAAAGGCATTGAGGCTCTGGAGCATGTCCAGAGAAGGGGAATGAAGCTATGAAGGGTCTGGAAAACAACTCTGATAGCCAGCTGCAGAAGGAACTGGGATGGTTCAGTCTGGAGGAGAGAAGGTTCAGGTGATGCCTTATTGCCCTATACATCTCCCTGAAAAGAAGCTAGAGCAAAGTAGGGTTTGGCCTAACTTCCTAAATAACAGTGATGGGATAAGAGGTAATGGCCTTAAGTTTTTCCATGGGAGGTTCAGGATGGATATTAAAAAAAATTTCTTTTCAGAACGATTGATCAGACATTGGCATATGATTCCAGAGAGGTCATGGAGTCACCATCCCTGGAGGTTCTCAAGAAAAAGGAACTGTGGCACTAAGAGAAATGATTAGTGGACATACTGAGCATGGGTTGGGGTTGGACTTGGTGATCTTAGAGGTTGTTTCCAACCATAATGATTCTGTGGTTCTATGATTTTTCAGCAGGCATTAGCATAGGGGAAATTAAAATGGTCCAAGATGGATTCTGCCTTCAGCACAACTGCTGAGGGAAGTGCTCCTCACCCTGCTCATCCCTGAACGCATCCGTGAGGAACCGGCACTCCTCCTGGATCCGCTCCTCCAGGCTC